TTACTGAGCGCTTTTGACTACAAAAGTTCTAAGTTTGAACTGTAGAGTCAAAATTAATGACGAAAAATCAGTATTCCGAAATTCGAAGTAATGGAATGAATCGGAAGAATAATAAACTGGAATAGACCCAAAATTTTTTTTCAAGTATATGTTAGATGTGATTAAAAATTGTTGAAAAAAGTTAAACAGAAATTAGTAAAAAAAAAATTGATTAAAAAGAAGTTAAGTAAAGCTTTGAATTTAATTTTTTTTTTGAAAGGTTGATATTTTATGAACCATTTATTTTATCAATTTCTGATAATTAACACTGATTATCAAGACAACAAAAAAAGCAATGTTATGTTTCAATATCACAGCTTGCTTCATTCCTTGTTACACTTTTTTACTTCCATTCCACTCTTTATTGATTCATAATTCCAGCTTAGTTAATTTTACTACTTCATACTTCATAATACTACTTCATAATCCACTACCTCTCTCTCTCTCCCTCTTAAGTCTTAACGTAATTTTATGGAACAACAAAATACAAAATATTGAACGACGAATAATTTTAATGCAGGTACTAGATTAACTCAAGTCAAAAACTGGAATAACTAAATGAAAAGGTCAACGTTATTCATCATATATGAATAGGAGTGCACTTTGTCATACGTTCGTCTCGTGTTCGGACGGTTTTTTACTGCATTAGACAGGAAAGAGTAATGGACTGGATGACGAGCACGTTGCTAACACGTTTTGCGTACGTCTATCTCTGTATCATTTCACTTCTTGAGCACTTTACCATACTGTATATTTGGCAAAATGTTGAAAACGATTGAGTAGCAGACAGGTGGAAGAAGAAATTACATAAATTTTTCTGCCTTGAAAAAGCAATTACTATTTGCCAATATACAAACAGTAAATGCCATATCAGAATTCACTGCCTAACTCTTCGTCTTTACGTACTTTCGGTTCAGTTCATCTTCTGTAGCAATTCTATGATCTGTTAAAAATTCATAAACCATTAATATTCCATTGAAATCAAGAAGAAAAGCAAGCGACTGTGTTAATAAAATGTATATTTTAATAATGAATCGCAGTTAATAACAAACAAACGAATGACAATCAGTCGTTATGGTTTAGCTAAATTTCTAAGTGAAAATTTAAAAGATTTAACGCAAAATTTCTATTAATTACCGAAAAGGTTAACAGAAACCATCAATTTTCCCTTCTTTCTTTATCAACAAAGTTAAACATTAATATTATCAAGAAAAACTTGCTGAATTACAGTAATATAATCATAGAATGTGTAACAGCAATACAGAGAGAATAAGAGATAATCAATCTATTCCTGAAAAGCTATAAGTAAATACTCGGCTAAATATGTGACTGAAACAGCATCAAAATTACATCAATCAACATGAAAGGACATCCATCGATCGTGATTGGACACAACTAGCAAATGCCAAATGAAACCGCAAATGAGTAATGTGAACTCTTAAGGTGAAGAGAGAAATTGGTAAAATGTTTTTTTTTTTTTTTTTAAAAAGACATTTTCTTGTTGTTTAATGTGAACTAACACTGTCGTAAAAATTTATCGAAGAATTTTTTTTACAACTTTTTCGTTGCATCCTAATCAATATTTTGCGAAGTTTATAGAAAGAAAAATAACACAACGGAGAAAACGAAGGAAACGAGAGTTCACGGGAAGCTTTATTGCAGCAAGCAGAAAGAGTGTGCCAACTTCGTCATGACAAAGATTTTGTAAATCGTTTTTTTTTTTTTGTTCTCTTCAAATGAAACAAAAGGACATCGAAATGGATGGAACGTACCTATAAATAAACTCTCATCAATAAAGGCAATGTACATACCTCCAATGAACTGTAGTGATATTTTAATAGAGACTTGTAACAACCGGAAATAGAACACCTCTCTTCAGGTATACTTTTATTGATCGTTTATCGAAAACCGTTAAAAAACACCGACAATATCGAATATTACTATACACATTCTTTTCCTTCTACCGGAATAGTCATTATTAATCTTCTCCATCCACACAAAAGTGTATATTCCGAAAAACGCTTCGCATTAAAAAGTTTTTAGTTCAATGTTTCTGGAAAAGCAGTTTAATTTGCAAAGAACAGAAATGAAAGTAATTTGTTTGGTTCCTACTAATTTTCAAATTAAATACTACATTAAAATTTTTCTATGATTAAAAAACTCTTCGATGCAGCTTTTTTTTAATAATAAAAAACGTTAAATTTTTTATGTGATCAAGAATGGAAATGGAAAGATGAGAAAGTTATTTCAGACCTGTAAAAATAGAACTCTTCGTAATTCTCTAAATACTTTCATGTCTCGAATGTTTATGCACAATTATAATATAAATAATGTTTGCAATTAAAGAAATCATTTTTTTATGTTTATATCGAAGTTGACAAAATGTGGCATTAAGAGACGGCGTATATTCTCCCAATTTTTTTTTTTCTTAAATACAAAATAAATTTTTTAAAATGTTTAAAGGGTGGAAATTTTCTGTCATGTTGTTTATTCGAATTCTGATCATTTTAAACTTCAGCCCGTTGAAAAAGCAGCTTATCTTTATAATATTCCTTTGAATTCTACCTAATTTTTTAGAACCCAAAGCAATATCAATCTTTATTTGTAATTTATGCTAATTGATGTCTCAAATCTAGAAGATGTTCATGATTTAGGATAATCAAGAAATCAGAGACACAAGCATGACGAGGAAGACTCCGTCTGCTACTACTGAACTTTTAAAATTTTGTTTGTGATGTGCAGTAATAAGATTAGGCACGTTATCTTGAGTGGAAATGATGTAATTTCTGGAAAGACTAAAATTGCAGCTTGAACACATTGCGCTACACTACTTTTATTTGGTTCAGAAAATTCGCTTATCACTTCGTGTGCCTTATGAAAGTTAGCTGATTGATTTTTTTTCTCCTATCTCGACTATCCGTATAATATAAAACAAACGCATTCAATTTTCTACGACAGAATGAAAGATATGCAGTGTTTATTAATTCAACTATCTTTTCTCATAAAACTAAGTTCATGACATCATTTAAGGGAATATTTTTACGTAAGCTATCATAATTAACTATTGTCTCAGTTGTCTGCTTCTTAAATTTTATAAACCCTTCCAAATTCTGAAGAGTTTAATTATATTTAAAGTCCTCGCGTGCCCTAAGCAATTGCTGACTAAATCGAAACTCTCAAAGTTAAAATGTTCAAGCACTACCTAAGAAATTGCTTTTTGTAAATAAGAAAATAGCTTAAAATATCATAAAAAATCTGTTAACAATAACAAGTCGTATTCATAGGATATAATATAAAATAAGTGATAATTTCGACTTAAATTTCTCGATGAATTCCTGGTTTCTTATATAAATTAGTTTACTTCATGGATCAAAAAGTAAAAAATATATACGATCGATTGCTATAAAAACATTTGCAGCATTTTAGGGCACTTCTCCATACGATCGATCATTTGTCAAATGAATTAGAATGGTAAATGTTGTCATAATTTCCATTTTGTCTCTATGACAAATAACTGACTTTAAAATCATGGAAACACACAATTTCAAAATCACACACAGCGCTTTTGTGGTTATTTATAATCTGAACGAAATTGATTTAAAGCCAAGAAAGATGTATGACTCAGTGGTTAATAGTATCGCTGATTTGTTTGGAATTAGAATAAATCTTATTTGCAGAAAAATTCCTTTTGCCCTTTATGCTTCTTTATTAGGCGTTTATGTGATTTCTCGAAAAGTGATAGTGCTGAAGAAACCAATAGAATGAAGTATAGTTGCCAAGAAAATATGTCAAATGAATTAGGATGGTAAATGACTTTTAAACTTTTTTAAAAGTCACATAAATGAGATTGTTAACCTGAAATACCTTCATAAAATCAGACATGACTAGATAAATCTGAAATTAAATTTAGTGTTTTGAAACAAACCACCTTTAAACAAAAATTTTTAAGAAAAACATTTACTTGCGCATTAACCTGAAAATTTGTGACTGCGCTTTGTATGCATTTAGAACGACAGATATTACATCTATAAACTCAATTTTTATTTTTTCATTCGAACTTTTGGTGAAAGGTTTTCAACTTATCCATTCAAGTTCGCTTCACTTCCGAGGACTTGATACTTTTACTCTTAAGATTAATTGTTTCATTTTACATTTTGTGGAGCGTTTTATTATAGTTTTCCTTAAAAATAGTAGCTTTTAAAACATTAAATGTTGGGATAAATTTTTGTTTAAAATTGGTTTGTTCCAAAACATTACAAATCTTGAGGAGTCAACGTACCGGTTGGTGGAAATGTTTAATAATGCTTGGCAACATATTTGGCAGAGTTGAAGGGAACTTCCGGTGGAAGTTAGAATAGCAGGAGATTTATTTTAGATGAGGTCTAACTTTAGACTGAACATTCTGAAAGTGCTTCTCAGCATAACATTAAGACCTGATGGGTCATTGCTCTTAATGATTAGTATGATTTGATCTGGTAATTAGGATCAATGCTTCATGGTATCTTTTCAGCTAATTTAGATATTGTGCTTATTATAGTGTCGATGATAAAGTTTAGGTGGCACTTGATGGTAGAACAGATATTATTTGACATTTATTTCTATCTTCTCATAGAAGGTTTCAGTAGAGCTTTCTCTAAAGGTCACTGATAATTTGAATACAATTAAACATCTAAGTTAAGGATAAGTTGAATTTTTTAACTCCTACCAATGCTTATTTTTAGTGACACATTCATTCTTCTGTATCGCTGACAGAAAACGAGTTCCTTTATGGAGGACTTTTAGAGATCGCATGCCATCACATTATCAGTGTACTCCTGATGAAATAATGCTTGATGAAGGGAGGGAGGAGCACGAGAAGGATGAAAAACCGATCGTAGAAATGGGTCGACGACACGTGGAGACATTTCCTGTACTCACAGGCACCACTCTTCCTTCTTACTACGACCATACTGATTCGTAGGATGTTCGCTTCTATCGTTTGCAGTACCATCGTCTTTTCAGTGCTTTCGTTAAACGCAAACGCCGCATTCGATACTAAACAAATCTACACGAATCCACTCTCACACGGTTAGTGAATTATTTATGTCAACAAAAGAATTAATTTTAAAATTTTTGTAAAAAAATTAACAAGACTTTTTTATCGGATAATAATTCTACGGTGTCGTGTCGTAGCGTTATGCAGATATGTTATCAAAGACTTGCTGATGGTTAATTTCAACAACATCGTTAATAACTTCATCTGATATTTTGAAGGTTTTGGTGAAGACATAGATTGGGTGAAATGGGAAGATGCAGTGGAAATGGCGATGGAAGTAAACAAACCAATATTTCTGTTAATTCACAAATCCTGGTGTCATGCATGCAAAGGTTAGCTTTTCTTCTTACTCTCCATTTCTGGACGATTCGATCTCCTTTCTGTCATCGTTGTGAATTGTACAGTTATTTTTTTTTTTTTTTTTCATGGAAAGATGAGGAAAGATTGCAGTATAAAGGCAACCTGAAACTCATTAAATCTTTTATTATTTATTTGTGATTCTGTTTGTTTTTAAAGCTATATCAATAAATTGTTAGAAGTGCGATGTTGACTAGTTTTCTTTTAGCACTGAAGAAAACATTCCAACAATCAAATGCCCGGAAGGCTTTTAAAACGCTCTCTAAATATTTTGTCATGGTAAATACTGAAGATGATGAAGAGCCATATGAGGAAGAATATAAACCAGATGGAAAATATATTCCACGTGTGCTTTTCCTCGGTAAGCTATATTATTCTCTTGAAAGCCTATTTAAGCTGAAATAATGAGAAATAATATAGAGCAAATTGAACAAAATTAGCATATTTTGTAAAATGCTGAAAAATTCTCCACCACGTATGAAACGTAGACTGTAAAGAACGACGCAGTAACGCTTACCTTAAAAGGGTCAAAGTGAAAACATTTTTTTTCCTTAAGTAAAAATGCTGTACGATGAAGAGTTTTATGAACTCTATCTTACAGTAATTAGCTCAACTAGCATGTAAAGAAATCAATAAAAGGAGATTCTTCTTTCAAATTTTTAAAATTTTCATCATGACTGTATTTTTCGGTAGCAGATGATAAAATTTTTGGAACTTTAAAACGAATTTATTGCTTGCGAAAAAAAACTTTTCATTGGAATGTTTTTGATGTAATAAGCTAGAATGTGATACAAATTTCTTTTCTATTAAAGTTTAATATTATGAATATGTTTATTATCCGGCTAAACAAATTATCAACTTTAGTCATAGAACTCGAGATCTCAGAGTTAGCAATTTTTATCTGCAAAAAAATTTTTATTGCAGTCAATCATTTCTTTATATCTGCTCTATACTTCACAATCCCATAAAAAGATGGAATACGAACTGATCCAATAAATTACTCTTTTATTCTTCACTTTTGTCATTCACTTTATTAGCATTTGTAGTAGAATTTGTTTAGCATAATCAGTCGTTTGAAAATTTTGTTTTAAAATTTATTTCTCATTGTTTGCTATCATTTCAGATAAAAATGGTGATTTACTGTCACAGTTTAAGAATAAGAAAGCAGAATACAAAAATTACGCATATTATTATTCCTCACCAGCAGATATACTCAATTCGATGAAGGATGTCATGCGATACTATAATATCGATGTAAATTTCTTCATTAATTGTTATATAATTGAACTGGTCGAATTGGTTTTCGAGTTGGTTGAATAATTAAATTAAGTTAATGAATCTTAGTGATTAGCTAAGAATGCTTAAGAAATGAAGCGATTGTGTTTAGCTAACACGATTAATAGTTCTAAAGTAGTAATAGTGTAATAAAATCAGCGCAAAAGAATCTGTCTTTTAGAGCTGATTTGTGAGGAATTCAATTGCAGAATTATTTGTTCTTCCAAGTAATTTTTTCAACGATATTTAGCATATTATTTTCACTTCACTGCATTTTAAAAAGTGCCTGAATTTGCACTACGAACAAATTTCATCTAGAACAATAATTGTTCAATTTCAGTATTGCACCTGTCAAAGTCTTATGATTAGATTTTATAAAATCTTTAAAAACCTCTTTTAATCGTAATCTTTTTATTGCTAAAGTATCTGGACTGTAGTTTAATTAACATTTCAGGTTCCAGAAATGAAGAAAGGTCCAAAGCTGAAGCCAAACAAACCAATTGATGATGAAGATGACAAGCCATTAAAGGACGAATCCACGAACGAAAGTACAAAAAACAAAAAACAAAAAAGCAGTAAATCCGATTTATAGCTATCCGGAAATTACAGACTAAAGAAAAATACGAAATAGTTTCAAGAATAGTTTGAAAGTAATGACACATTCATCAATTGCTAAGCTAATGCATGCAGAATACAGTAGTTTCTCTTCTGCATGCATGAATTATTGTGCACATGCTACAATTGTCTTGTTTGTCTATCTTGCAGTTCACTTAAAAACGTGTACACAACGTGCATGTGCTTAAAGACCTTTACGTAAAGAATTTGTGCAAGCGTTTGTTCGCAACATTCAAGAAATTTTGCAAAGGATTAAAATTTAAATGTATTCGTAACTGATAATGAGCTAATTGAAGTTATTACTATTGCTATATTATGAATCACAGGATGGCGAAGGTAATGAGTGAGTAATGTATGCTTATATCCGAAGGGTCAAAAGGGGTCAAACGTCGCTGTAATTATGTCCACGTTCAGAACTGATCATTGTTATTGTTGTTTGGGTTACTATTTTATGAAAAAATTCCTTTAAACAATATGCATTGCAATCTTTTAATCGCAGACGTTGAATATTGTTATGAGAAATAAAATTTCTATATATTAAAAATTACAAATTCAAAAAAACTGCTTGAAAATGAATTTTTTGTTTTAACCGCTTTTGACATTGGATAGAATTACTTAGCACGAATTCAATTAATTAGTGACAAATTTCATTTGACTTTGACTACTTAGAGACATCTCAGCTCTGTTGTTTTGCTTCAGCAGTTTTGCTAAATAACAAAAAAGAAAATGCATGGTTTATGTCTTTTATTTACATTCTAGCTCCTTTACATCTATAGATTTTTTTAAAGATTAAGATACCACCAAATAGTTTATGAATTTTAGAAAAAGACTACGACAATGTTTTCTAGTTGCCAGTTGAATTTATTATGAGCAAAAACTGACTATACCAAAAAGACTAGTAGTCCTTACTGGTAGAGAATTATATAATGTACTGAATATGTCAGAAATTTTTAGAAAACAGTAAGGGAGATGCAGAATATGGAGTAAGTTGTTCAATCTAAATGACATATGAATAGTATTTCGAATAATATAACATCATCTTTCTTTCCCCTAAAAAATCTTTCCTTATTTAATTTAAAGCTTTTGAAAATTTGACAATACTTAGGAAGTTATGGTAGGTTTCTAACTTTTCCTTAATCGATTCTAACGTTTTCTGGATAAGAAAGAATGATGTATTGTTCGATAAATATTTAAGAAGTCAGGATCAAGATACAATTGACCTTTTGATAATCAATTAGTATCAATTAAATGTAATTTCTTTACTCTCGAACGTTTATCTAGATAATATATAAGTAGTGAAGGTCATCCGGTTAGAATTATCCGGTATATGCACAGTTATTTCTACAATATCTGAAGCAATATGTCATTGTTATACAGACAGAGCGAAAAATGATCGACGAATGGTTCCCAGTTAAAGTGGCAATTCTGGCACAACACTTCAAATAATCTCATCAACACTTTTACCACCAGCTGCTTTCATTAATTTCTTCTTACATTAAAAAAAAAAAGACTTTAAACTAGAAAAAAATTTTATTTCTGGAATGAAATTTGAGACGTTGAACGAATTGTTGTTAAAGTATTGGATTAAATTAACTTTATTCATGCAAAAACTTCAGTCTTTTGGAGAATCAAAACAAATTTGTCGTACTGTTTAGAAAGAAAAAAAGGATCTTGTCAAGTTCTCAGCAATGGTACTATTAAGGAATTGCTTGTCTGAAAAAAAAAGTAAAAGAAGAGAGAAATTCTGAAAAATGGAAAACTTTTACTGCTTTTAATCCTTCGAGAATGTTTATGTAACTAATGCAGTTGTGTTTTTCTGATGCTACCAACGATTCGATAAATATAAAACACTTATTCTCTTAATGTAGATTAACAATTGTAATTGATACTGGATCCTTTCTTCCGGAATATCCGTTCTCTTTTACTCATTCAGTAGTCGCCGAATTTCTTTCACAATACTGTCACTCGAAATTTACAAATTGTGAGAGAAGAAAGTATGTAAAGGTTGCATTTGTTTCTAACACTTAAAGTATAAATCAGTTATTGAATTTTATGTAAATGCAAGATTATGCCTTTTTTCATATCCTATAGGTCATTCCTGTTATATGATAAGCTACCATCAACTTGACCTCTACTTTTTCTAACAAGATTACTACACATATATACATATGAAGACTAAAAAGAATTTCGAATAAAAAATAAAAGATTAATTATTTTTAGGTTCATCTTAAACTTTTGTTTGTCATTTATGAAAAAAAACTTAATAAATATTCTGCAATTAAAAATACGAAAAGAGATTAGCTTTAGTACGGTATGATCTGGCGATAAAGCTAGTTTATTTTGAACAGAGATGGAATATTTGCTTCTAACAATAGTAATTTCAGTAAAGCTAACTGAAAATTATTCGTACCACTTACTTTTATCACTTACTTATTAAAAATGAATGGTTAAGATTTCTTTTCTCTTCTTCATATCAACTGAAATGATTATGATCTTATTTTTTTAGTTGGGAAATAAAACACCAAATTATTCAAAACATGTTCCTTCATTTTCGATCTGTATTGTCTGTCATATAAATAAATTTTCGATCAATAAGTCTATTACTATAACATAACCCTTTTAGCATACTAAAAAGATTGTATTGTATTATTTAAAAATAAAAGTTTATAACATTACAAATTAGAATTTGAAGAAGAGAAAAATTCACTCTCAAATTCACTCCAAATAATTTTAATTTTCCGATACAATTTCCTTTCAATCTTATTAAGCCTTTTCTTCATCTTTCAAAAAAACTAGCATTTAATATTTGATCTATTTTAAGTTTTTTTACAAAAATTTATGAGATATGCAGAATGAACAAGAATAGTTCTTTGATGTTTTATACTTTATATGCAATTTCTTAACATTCGATAATTATTTAAGCTCTGTGTAAGGTTGAGGATCTAACACTACTATGTGCCGATTGACCTCTAACCCCCTGCTGAACATTATTGCATCGTTGCATCATAAGCCATCATTATCCTTGTTGAAGTTTTCACGGTGCGGACTAAACAAGAAGAAAATGTTGACAGGATGAAAGCTTTAGCTTATGTTATGTTACCACCATTTCTACAATTTTTCTGTTCTTTACTGTTAGATGTTTCCGTTTATATTCCTGAATAATTCATATATTCAAGATTTCTTGAGTACCCTAAATTATTACAAATCTCTGTTAAAATCATCGTTGTGCTACAGTATTACTATAGCGATAGCAAAAGGAAGAATTCCAATTTTACTTTGATCATCCAATTTGAGCTCAGATGACACAGTTAACTTCCAATTTTGTTTTTATGAGAGAAGTATAAATCACTTTAATTAGTTTCTATCCAATACAAATCATTCCATCAATCAAAATGATTATTTCCGGATGTTTTGAGACAACAGATGAGAGTGGAGACAAAGAAAGTCATTCTGGTTCAGTGCTTTCAGAATTACTGATTCAGTTGCAGCCGGTATCATATATCTCCATGCCCTTAAGATAAGCTGTAAATAAAGTAGTGTGGGAGTCACTTTAGCCTAGTACTTAATTGGCCGTTACTAATGTGACCCTTAATGTTGACACTTTTGCAAAATATCAACTAGAAATTAAGGTTAGATTGTCATATCTCCAAAATTATTCTGCTTTCCATATATATATATATATATATATGCTTCTGTTTATTCTAATTGTCGCATTACTATTATATTTCCAAGTGTCGCTCTCAGTTTTACAAACAAAAATATGGTCTGATTAGGCTAAGATAAGTTTATTTTATTGCTTTCTGTAAGATCGAACATCTAAAATTGCATATAAAAAATTTCAAAAATCCAGTTAAAACTGTAAAACCTTACTTCTGCAAAAAGATAAGGTTTTACACTTTCTGATAGCAAAAGACGGATGAGTTAAAAGTGTCAGTAATGGATGACATCCTGCTGTGTATTGAACTTTGTTGTTGGAGTGCGAAGACCGTTACCGATCAAAGACATTTATAATTATCTGAGAGGTAAACAAAACATGAAAAAAGAAAGCAGTAATAATAGCGGGCGCACATGCATGAATAAGTTCGCCGACAAAATATGCTACGGACAATTAATTCACTATCGAATTACAAATAGTTCTTATTATATCGGTAACAATTTTTCATTAAACAAAACTCTTTTTATGTGACTTAGTTTGAGGACAAGAAAAATAGTAGAGCTAATCACTTCATCCATATTTCAAAAATGTGACCTTCAAGTAAATATTTATCGGATTGCAGATGATAAATATGTAATATACAATTCATTCAATTAAATTGCTTTTCTTAATTTAAAATCTTATGAAAAATGCAAAAAATGTCTCTAAATGACGGACTCAATGTTCCAGAGCACTCAACTTTCTGTCTACCGAGATATGAAGTGATGAGTTGTACTAATTGTCTCTTCTTCTTGACTACTGCTGAGGATCTGCCTCAGGGCATAAATATAATTGTTGGCCATTCGAAGAGTTTCTAAAGGAATGAAGTATTTATTTATTTGTTAGAAACAGACTGTACTCTATAAAAAACCCTAAAATCAGAACTCAAAACAAACTATTTGAACAAAAAAAAAAAAAAAAACGTATTCACCGATTTTAGTAAGCTTCGGTTCATCTGGAAGTTGTGGTAGTATTCGTCGTAATTTTTCCAATGCTTCGTTCAAATTATGCATTCGGCGACGTTCTCGAGCATTAGCTTTACTTCGACGAATTTGCTTCGTTCGTCGGATGGTTTCTGGACTTCGAACTCGACAACGATATTTTCGTTTTGTTCGTTTCACTATGTTTTCTCCAGTAGTTTTATTCTCTCGTGTTTGTTTTGACTGAATATTCTTGTCAACTTTTAGAAATTTTTGTTAAAAAAAAAGAATTCAAGAAATTAATATATTTCATATAATTGAATTCTTTTGAACTTTTTCTGAAAATTTTGCTGATTTTCAAAA